TGTAGAAGGCAAATAGATATTTAGAGTTGAGTGAGTATTACACGAATCATGTTAATATTGTTAACAATGTTAAGGACATAGCCCCGATATACAGTACTAATTAACTCCATCACTTGGAAAAGAACAGCGATCCACAATTTTGTGCATATTAGTCTAATTGGGTCATTAGATGATTTGTTGTCTAAAAACTCTAAGCAACAATGTCGTAATCATCCAATGTATAGTCAATCCAACGGTTGAAATTTATTCTCATCTCTCACATTAGATACATTTCTCATGTGAAATTGTGAATCAATATGTATGTGTGTGGTTTTGACTTTGTAATAAAATTTTGCTTTGCTTTGATCATTTGATAGTGGTTTTTATGGACTTATGGGTATTTCATTCATGTAGCTTGCCAATGAAATTTACATGTACTTTGGGATATTCTTCTTGGTGAATCATGTGAATTCTCCTTCCATTTGTAATGTGCTTTCAAGTTTTATGTACAAGTTATTGTGAACATGTGAACATAACTATTGTGTAAAGTAGAGATCCTCAACTAAACAAATAAGGCCACAGTTAAAAGAATTTAGTGAGAAGTATGTATGAATGATATTTCACACAACCACAAATCTTATGAAAGATCATAGGCTAATAATAGGTTAAACTTGACCCTAGTGTTAAATCACTAGTAAACTTGGTTTACTACGCCAATGCAAATTCTTATTTAATGTTTATGTTAAAGCCTATAAAATATATAAGGAACACCATACACCACTATGCTCATATCAGTAGCAACTCTTCTGACATAAATATAAACTATTTTACTTCTTGTATTGATCGAGTAGTTTGTCATCAAGTTTACTAGTTCTCTAATACTAAACAATGTAAATGTAAACATTAAGCTTAATATGTTTCAATACTCTCGTTTTCTTGATTTCATTTAAATGGGCTTCAATAAAAATGAATTATTTTATGTGATCAAATATTGTGTATGCTTTATTTTGTCTAGGTCTAGCCAAATCTTTAGGTCTAATTTAATACGGATAAAATTGAAACCAATCCGTGAAAACATAAAAATCACAATATTGACAAATGTTTTATTATACGAAGCTATAAAAGGAACAATAGCGATTTTAAAAAAGGGACAATTGTTAAAAGATAATTGAATTATTGGATTAGAAATTATTATCATCATTATCAAAATAATCAGGAAATCATAATTATGATTTCAAAGTGATCATGTGTAGCTCATAATCACTTTTTAAGCCAATTGAGTTCACACTTTCCCCTATAAATAAGAGTCTTTTTCATTGTAATTAACACACCATTAAGTGTGTTGTTGGTCCAAAATAGGACGCTCGTAGGCTTTTAGAAAAGCTACGTTCGACACTCAAGCAGGAAAGTAGAAAGCGATACGAATATGGAAAGTAGCTAGAGAGTTTGAGAGCCAGAAATAGCATAGAAATTGCCTCCGATCCTTTAGTTTGAATTACAACGTGCCTTTTATAGGCGTATACAATTCGTAACCGCTACAGATAATAATGACTAATTAATTACCACATTAAACGGAATTAAATACATAATTAAGCAGCGTATTAATTGCTTGACCGTTACTTTTCCTGGCGGGCAGGTTGGCTGGACTGGCAAGCTCCCCGTTGGGGTGGTAGGCAGGCTCCAGGTTGTGGAGCTGGATCCACGGGTCAAAGTTCGGGGCTTGGGCCAATTAGGCTCTGGGCCCAGTCCCATAACTCCATCATGTGTATCATATACTTTCCTCCCTGATCTTCTTTTATAATTGAGATAATCGTCTTCTTATTATTCGTGATTAGAAATCATTATCATCGTTTGTTAAAATAATTTAAAAAATCAATTATGATTTCAATGTGATCATGTGTGGCTCATAATCACCTAAGTCAATTGAGCTCACAGTTTCTCTTGCAAATAAAAGTTTTTCTCATTGTAATTAACACACCATTAAGTGTTCATAATATACTTTCTTCGCCAAGTTTATTTCCTTCCCTTTCATATTAGCAATTTAAGTGCTATTTTTGTTGAAAGAATAACACGAATATCATGTTTTCATTTCCAATAATATGACACCCTTTCCTTTTTCTCAAAAATGTGACTTATTCAACAAAACCTAAAATCATCTCCGAAGACAAATCGTCCGCAACTCTTCTATCCTTTCCCATGGGTCTGCCGCCGCCGCCTCATCTCTCACCAAAACGCACGTGCGTCATCTATTAACCATTAGCCGCCGATTCGTCTCAAATCTCATCCCTCGACTGCTGATTCGTCTCAAATCTCATATGTCGGCTGCCGATTCGTCTCAAATCTCATCCCTCGGCTGACGATTCGTCTTGAAACCAAGGTCTCATCTCTCATTGTCGTCGGTCGCCGCTCCTTCGTCTCTCAACCGTTCGTCGTTGGTTCGTCACTCATCCATCGACTCCCAGGTTTCATCTCTCACCTTCAGCCATCGTTGCTTCAACTCTCAAGCACCATCGCCACAACTTTCCTCTTCTTATTATTTGTTTCTATCGTCAATGGGGCTGACGAACGATGGTGGCAGAGGGTCGAGGCAGTATTGTCTGGGGGTGGCAGTGATGTAGAGGGGGCTGGGGAAGTGGCTAAGGCTTGGGAGGGGAAGGGGGCTGGGGAGTTGAGTCAGACTTGGGCGGCGGCCAGAGTGGTGGTGGCGGTGGCGTCGGTGTGGCGTGCCACTATCAGTGAGTAATTGTCGCTGGTGGGCCGGCGTTCACAGTGACGGGAGTCACTATGACCGGTAGGCGGACAGTCACTGTGGCCGGAGTCATTGTGACGGTGGGTCATTGTGGTGGCGGGTCACTTTGGCGGCGAGTCACTTTGGCGGTGAGTCACTGTGGCGGAGGACCGGAGTCACTGTGGCGGCGGACCGGAGTCACTGTGGTGGTGGACTAGAGTCACTGTGGCGGTGGACCGGAGTCACTGTGGCGACGGGCGGGAGTCATGTGGCGGCGGACCGGAGTCACTGAGATAGTGACTGGCGGCGGTGGTGGCGGCAGTACCGGGGGGTCGGCGGCCACGGGGGTGCTGGTGGTTGCAAAATATGGACTACTAATCAAATATATAAAAGGAATATTGAAATAATAAATGTATGATTAAATATAAGGAATAAATGACTTTTAGTCACTTTTTGGAAAAATTTAAAATAGGTCACATTTTTGTCTTTTTAATTCATTTTAGTAATATTGGAATAAAAAGGCCTTTGGAATAAGGACGTAAATAGTAGTAATAACTTACGGAAATACTAAAATAGAACTAAAACTCTGTTTGGACAAAAAAAGTAACGGAAAATGGGTTATTGGACTTTAATGTCCCCGAGCCCTAAGCTATCCTCCACATTTGATGCGCTCCAACTTTAGAAGCCAGCCGCTGCCTTCGATGGAGAAACGAAGCACACCCACGCAGAGGCATCGATCTCCACCATTAATAGTGCAGCAGATCGTGGCTGCCTCTGCTTCCCTGGTCGTCGCCACCGCCTCATCTTCCATGGCCGACGCTAGCGCCTAAACTTCCCTGGCCATCTCCACCCCCTCGCAATCACCTTCACCCTCTTCATCGTCGTGATCTTCTCCCTGGCTGCTTATTTTTCTTCTCTTTCTGTTCGGCGTCTCTCTAGCGAAGTTCCAGATATGCGATGATGCTGCGGCGGCAGGGGAGTAGCGGGGTTGTGGTGGTGCGGGGATTCCGGTTACAGGCTGGGGCTGGGGGAAGGGGGAGGAAGCTGGGGTGATGAGACTGGGAGCTAGGGATTTATGGTAGGGGAGCTGGGGATGGGGTTGGGGGCGGGAGATTTGGGGCTTGGGATGGGGGCTGAAGAGGAGGGTTGGGTGGGAGATTTGGGGCTCAGGATGGGGCCAGAGGCAGTAGTGGTGTCACTGGTGGCGAGACCGCGGTACCTGTGAGAAGGAGTGGTGGCTGCGGGATAGAGGCAGTGTCCAAGTCAATATGGATTTAATGGGGTGTCACTGTAATTGGGTCACTGTGGTGGTTATGACATATTGACAGTGGTGACGAGGTGTAGGTCTAGGGTTCGGGTTGGGGAGTGGGGGTGAGGTCGGTGCCTGGTGGTGGTGGACGTCGGCCGGTGGTCGGCGGCGTAATTATGGATGGATTAATTGTGGCCGGAGTTGCTGTGACCGATGTCACTGTGGAAGTATTACTATGGACGTGTCACTGTGGAACCGTAACTGTGACCGGCAACCATCATTGGTCGGTGGCGATCCCTGACCGGCGACGAGTTGGTGTCACTGCGGCGGATGTCACTTTGGGGGTGTAACTGTGGCGGATCATGTAACTATAAGACAAAGTAACTGCAAATTAGGGATAATTATGTAAGTTTAAAGCTTACTAGTTACATTTCTGGAAAATTTAAAAAATGGTCACTTTTTGGTCAATCATCCCATTTTTAGTACATAGTACTCCCTCCGTAACTTAAAAATCTTCTCACTTTCCTTTTTCGTCCGTAACAAAAAAATCTTCCCATTTCTAAATCTTCCCATCATACCCTCAATAATTCTTAAAATAATACACTATTACAATTACTTTTTTTGGATTTATCCTACATTCCACCACATTATTCCACTATTTTCCCATCATACCCTCAATAATTTATATCATCTTTCACTATTCTTAATCTACCTACTTTTGAAATGGGAAGATTTAAAAGTTACGGAGGGAGTACTATTTATGGAAAAACCCCCTTTTTTAAAGAAGAAATCCATGTATTATACTCCCTCCGTCCCTTATAACTTTGCCAACTTTCCTTTTTTGGATGTCCCATTAACTTTGCCACTTTCCCATTTAAGTAAAGAATTTGTGGTTCCAGTTAATTTTCTCTCCTCTGCACAAACCTCAACCACACAGTTTTTACTTTATTAATCCTCGTGCCGGTCAAACTTGTCAAAGTTATTAGGGACGGAGGGAGTAATTTATAAATCCAGAAATTATATACTGCTTATATACAATGGGCGCGAACAGGGTCCACTGGGTTCCGGCGGTGCTAAGGTGAAACTCGACCTCATATCCCAACTACCAGCGCCTTCAACCGTGACACGACCCGAACGTGCTCCACCGCTTTAACAACCTGCTCTATATTACAGCAGAAATGGTGTTCAACGTTCACTATATGCTACTCCTCCCACCTGCTAAACCTAACTCTGTTTCCTCCCCAATTCCCGTGCTTGAAATCACAACCAGTGCTGCGAATACTGAGAGAGATGAGCCCGACCAAGCGGGGAACCGAAGAAGCGGTGGCCGGAGACAACAAGCAAGTCATCTTCAAGGGATACATAGAAGGGATTCCTAAATTAACGGACATGGAGCTCGTCGTCGGGAACCGGCCGGTCAATCTGCCGGACAGCGACGGAGGAGGAGCGGTGATGCTTGTGAAGAATCTCTACCTTTCCTGCGATCCTTACATGAGAGGCCGCATGCGTGACTCTCGCGACTCCTACATTCCTCCTTTTCTTCCTGGCTCGGTGAGGTACCTTTGCCTTTTGCATCCTTTAATCCCAATGTCTCTCCCCAACATTTCAATAATCGTGCATTGATGTTAGCAAATTCTTTTTGTGATGTATGATGTTTAGATTAGAAAATGCAGTCACAATTCTTCTCCAATAGCAATTTGGACTTAGTTAGAGCTTCATTTTGGCCAAACTGTGCAACCCCTTTATTAATTTACGGTTGGGTGGTGAGAATAGACTCGCGAATTATTAGCTTAAATGAGATTTACATGTAGGGAGTTTTCTTAAAGGAACATTTTTTAAGCACTTTCTTAATGCCTGGAATGGCATGATGCACTTGTCTTCACTTGTTACCTCTGTAAAGTAGAAGCTGAGTTACTTTCAGCAGAGAGCTGCATTATTGATCAAATACTATGCTAAATGATGAAGGTTATAGAAGGATTCGGTGTGTCCAAGGTTATATCTTCAAGTCATCCAGACTATATGCCGGGTGACCTGATCTCTGGTTTCACTGGTTGGGAAGAGTATAGTTTGATACGAAGGACTGATCAGCTCAGGAAAATTCAAGCAGACAGTGATATCCCACTCTCCTACCACCTCGGCCTCCTAGGTACAATGAGCATACGTAAATGTGCTTATTATTGATCTATCTACAAATGAGTGTTTTGCTATATAAGAGAAAATTTGGTCTTTATGCCACATGTTCTACCCAATTATTTGACTTGAAAGTTGAAACCCCATGTCTTTTATTTTCAATGCATCCAGAACAGCCCATAGCAGGATGCAAAGTCAATTTCTACCTTAGTCCGAAAAAATAGTCATGTTTGACAATAAACAACCTTTTAGTTTTGTGTCATACTTACATTTTTAAAATTTATTTGATTTAACTAAATTTATTATTGTAACTTAACTGTGACTTTTTGGTAATTTTTTGACAAACTGCATAGTATCATTTGATCATACCAGACTGTTTTTAGGGACAAAAAAATTGTTTAAACTTGACTTCTTTTATGGGACGAAGGGAGTATTAAGGCCAGTCATGGGGTGCAAAGTATTATATGAATGATCCTCTCTGGGGTGCTCTGGGATATATCTTCAAAGAGAATGAAACATGATGTGCAAATTTAAATATTGAAATAAAACATGGGGTGCAAATTTAAGTATTGAGAAAAAACATGGGGTGCAAAGAACAATATTCCTGGCTTCCCGCTATAATAAAGTTTGTCTAGCTTGCTATACATTTAACGTGTGAGAATATTGTGTAGGTATGCCAGGATTTACAGCTTATGCTGGATTTTATGAGGTCTGTAAACCAAAAAGTGGGGACTACGTTTTTGTCTCTGCCGCCTCCGGAGCAGTAGGACAGCTTGTCGGGCAACTTGCTAAGCTACATGGATGCTATGTTGTAGGAAGTGCAGGGACAAAAGAGAAAGTGAGCTTCTCTTTTCCAGAAAAAAACCTTCAGGACGAAAATCTATTGTGTTTACACATTTTAAGAATTGTGATCTGTCTCTTTAATTAATGTCCATAAAGATCATATAACTTGTTAGGTTGATCTTCTAAAAGATAAGATGGGATTTGATGAGGCGTTTAACTACAAGGAGGTTACAGACCTTGATTCTGCTCTAAAAAGGTAATGTAACTTATGTAAGTTCCTTGAAGGCTTGAATACTTTGCTAATAAGTGTGTTTGATAACATTCTATTCTCAAGAATGTCAGACTAGCTAAAGGAATACTGTTGCTGTAGTGATGTAATGTAATATGGGATTCTATGAGATCGATTTTGTATGCTGTGTAGTGAAGTAAATGTAATATGTGATTCTATGAAATGGCTTTTTAGTTCATTATTGCTCATACTCCCAAGCAAGAACCAGTGTATCATTTTCCCCAAAATTCTTAGGTGATGTGATGATAGGGAACACGATAACATGAAACAATCACCTTGCCAGAACCAATAGGCAATAGCCACATGCCCTTGTTCTGGTCCATAAAATGCCATATAAAGCCTTTAATAACAACAAAGTATAAAATATGCTGAAATTATATATAGAAATTTATACTAATTGTACTCCATCTCCCCCACTACCTTTTTCTGATGTTTCTTTTTTCGCATGCTCCACTTTGTCTCATTCTCCCTCCAACCCAGCTTAAGCTTCTCACTTGCCTCTTTTGGATGTCCCAAGTTCGAACGGAAGTTTCCCATTTCTATTTTTGGAAATAATTAGCACTCTTAAATGACAAATAAATCATCAAATGTTAAAAATAATACACCTATAAGTCTTTAACATTATACGGAGTAGTTATCATCAATGATCTCATTATGTCATATGCCCATCAAAATAACTTCTCAAAATATACTCGAACTACATTATTTAATTCTTGTCTAAATAACCATGTCATTTTTCAATGAGAAGCTTAAGCCGGGACGGAGGTAGTACTATATATTGTGTGATTCAAATTCATTCATACTTTTCATATTCACTATCAACCATCTAGTTTTCCTTCATACACGTGCCACTTCATCTATATTTCAAAGGCAGTGGACGGATGTAATAGTTTACTATTCGATGAGTTAATTTTTCATTTTTTCTACTCATCTTAGTTTGGCTCATAATCTATGGCAAGCATTGTGATAGTCATACAAAAACACAGTGTCACAGTTGTAATTTTAAAGTAATACCAATTTTGACCCCATTTAGAAAGGCTTTATTTTTTGCTAACCAGACACTTTTTTTACCAAATCCCAACTTCTTTTATTGTCTTGACTCTTGATTCAATCGGGCTCGTAATGAAAAAAGTAGTGCACTGCTTACTGTTTGGGTTAAAGTTGCTGAAATGTATACCATAGCTTCAAATGTTATTTTCTTGGGATAAGGGTCAGATGGGGCCTCGAACTTGGAAAAAAATGTCAAATAAGGCCATATTTAGGATGTTATGTCCGGTTGACGCCATTTGGGGCGGTTCCCGGTAGAATTTTTTGATGATTTTTTTTGAGAATCTTATTCATTAAGTCTAGTTTACTCATATCAAATTTGAACTAACAATTCAATCGGGAAGGCATTCAAATGAATTCTTGAAGATAATTGCGCTTTTAACTGCACAGTTATCTTCAAGAATTCATTTGAATGCCTTCCCGATTGAAGTTTTAGTTCAAATTTGATATGAGTAAACTAGACTTAATGAACAAGATTCTCAAAAAATTTCATCAAAAAATTCCATCGGGAACCGCCCCAAATGTCGTCGGCCGGACAGAGCATCCTAAATATGGCCTTATTTGACATTTTTTTTCAAGTTCGAGGCCCTATCTGACCCTTATCCCTATTTTCTTTAATTTACTTTGTTTTGTTGAAACAGATACTTCCCAGAAGGGATTGATGTTTACTTTGACAACGTGGGAGGCCCGATGCTAGATGCAACACTTCTCAACATGAGGATTCATGGGAGGATAGCTGTCTGTGGGGTTGTGTCTCAGCAGAGCGCCACTTATGCACATCACAATCTGGCCAATCTCATCACAAAGCGGGTGACGATGGAAGGGTTTCTGCAGAGTGATTATCTGCACTTGTTTCCCAGGTTTCTTGAAGATGTCAAACGTTTATACAAGCAAAGGAAGATTGTGTACGTGGAGGACATGAATGTTGGCCTGGAAAGTGCTCCGGCTGCTTTTGTTGGGCTTTTCTCTGGGAAAAATGTGGGTAAGCAGGTCATTCGAGTTGCTGAAGCTTAACTGTACTTTTCTGGCTGTGGTGGTATTTCACTGGGTGGTGGCATATGAAATGGGTAATCACCTGTCCCACCCCAACTAAAGGGATGAATTTATATGCAAGACAATCACACATTAGCTCATTCAATAAAACATGGAGATGATTTTGATTTTCTCCACATATGATGGTAATATTTGGAGGTTAATGGAGGTTAATTAACATTGAGCCACATGATTAGTTAACGGAGGTTAATTATCACTTCGGGCATGTTCTCTTAGATTAAATTATGCTAGCCTGGTCAATTTAAATACTCCGTATGTTTTATTGTTTTGGTCCGTGAAGTCTAATATGTTCCGATCGGATTTGTTTATTTGGCAATTGGCATGTTCTTATATGGTTTAGTTGTAATGTTATGCGTTGCACATTTAATATGTGTATTTTAAGTTATCTTTTTATACATGTCTGGATCACTGGATGTAGGGGTGGACTCGGGCCGGGCCTCAGTTCATTTTTTTTTTTTGCTTTTCCTAATTAACCCTAGGGGTGGACTCGGGCCGGGCCAACCGGACCGGCCCGCTACTGTGCGGGCCCGGACTGGCCCGGTCAACCGGTTGGTGCACTGGTTCGGGCCACCCGGCCTGGTGGGATGGCGGTCCGGGCTCGGGCCCTGATTTTGGTGAACCGGCCCGGCCGGTTCGGGCCCGGTTCGGGCCGGATTTGGTATGAGTAAACTAGACTTATTAAATAAGATGCTGAAAAAATTCCACTGGGAGCCACATCAAATGGCACGTCCGGACAGAATTTTCTATATAAGAGGACATATGATGGTAATATTTTTTGGAGGTTAATGGAGGTTAATTAACATTGAGCCACATGATTAGTTAACGGAGGTTAATTATCACTTCGGGCATGTTCTCATAGATTAAATAATGCTAGCCTGGTCAATTTAAATGCTCCGTATGTTTTATTGTTTTGGTCCGTGAAGTCTAATATGTTCCGATCGGATTTGTTTATTTGGCAATTGGCATGTTCTTATATGGTTTAGTTGTAATGTTATGCGTTGCACATTTAATATGTGTATTTTAAGTTATCTTTTTATGCATGTCTGGATCACTGGATGTAGGGGTGGACTCGGGCCCGGCCGGGCCTCGGTTCATGAAAGGGGAGGCCCGGAACCGGCCCGGGTAACCCCCGGGCCGGGCCGGGCCGGGCCGGGCCGGGCCTCAGTTCAATTTTTTTTTTTTGGCTTTTCCTAATTAACCCCCAACCCTCCCCCCTCACCCCCAAACCACCTCAAATGGTCCAAAATACCCAGCACAACCCAAAAACTTAAAAAAAATTAAAAAAAAAATTAGAAAAATAAATTGGCCCGGACCGGGCCCGAACCGCCCGTGCCGGTTCACCTTTTGAGGGGCCCGAGCCCGGCCCGGAACCCCAGCGGGTCGGGCCTACCCGGACCGGTCCCTGGCCGGGCCGGCGGTTCGGCCGGTTCAAACAGTGACCGGGTCGGGCCGGTTCCGGGGCAGGCCGCCCGGCCCGAGTCCACCCCTAACTGGATGAATAATACCATTGAGGGATATGAGGTCCACAATTAAGTCACCCTCCCATGTGGTTGATTAAGTGGGTAATTAAGTAATTAACTTTTAAATGCATAGAATGATATACTTTATCTCTTGAAAAAAAAAAGAACGATAGACTTTATAGTTGAGTAAAGAGTCAGATTGGTCCTCGAAGTTGTAAAAAAGGTGTCAAATAAGTCCTTATATAGAAGATTCTGTCCGGACGTGCCATTTGAGGTGGCTCCCGGTAGAATTTTTTGATGAAAATTTTTGAACATCTTATTCATTAAGTCTAGTTTACTCATACCAAATTTCTACTAAAAATTCAATCGGGGAGACATTCAAATGAATTGTTGAAGATAACTGTGCTTTTAACGGCACAGTTATCTTCAAGAATTCATTTGAATGTCTTCCCGATTGAATTTTTATCTGAAATTTGGTATGAGTAAACTAGACTTATTAAATAAGATGCTGAAAAAATTCCACCGGGAGCCACCTCAAATGGCACGTCCGGGCAGAATTTTCTATATAAGGACTTATTTGACCCCTTTTTTGCAACTTCGAGGACCAAACTGACCCTTATCCCCTTTATAGTTTATACTCCGTGCAGTGGCGGAACTAGGGAGGCGAGCCGGTGCTGCCGCCCCCCGTTCGCCGGAGGTTATAGTGTATATATATGTATATGTATATGTATATGCTCAGCCCCGTGTCACAAATAATACGTAGTAATAAGTATTAACCGACCTGTGTTTGGACTAATAGTTGCAGTAGCACTGATGGCTGAATCATTAAAGATCAAGTATTTAACCTAAATAGGAGTAAAATAAAGGAGTATTGCAAGAATAGGACCTACTAATTTTTTATTCCCAAATAGGAGCTTCTCCCTCACACCGGACTTTTTATTCCCATCCTACCCCTGATTTTTTAAATCATCCGTCACGCACCCACGCACCAGCCAACCAAGGATTTTCCTCTCTCCCTTTATCCTTTCTCCTCTTTCCTTTATTGCATCTGCTTTCACATGTCAGGCTTTTTCTCTCTCCCTCCATCCTTTTTCTCTTTTCCCTGGTTACCTCTTCCTCCACGCATCTTTATCCTTGGAACCTCAGCCATATCCTTCCTCTCAAATAACTTCAAACTTCCTACAAACTAACAGATTCCTTCATTTTTGGTCAATTCAGGTCCAGATGGCGACGCTTTCTTCACAACTAGCTGCGACCACCGGAAGGAGGCGGCGATTGTGTAGGTAAGGTTTTGACCTCATCCTCTTCTTCTTCTTCCTCTTCCTCTTCTTCTTTTTCTTTTTCTTTTTGTTCTTCCCCTTCTTTTCCTTTGCTCAGTAGGCAGAGCCTCTGTTTCTTCTTATTTGCAACGTAGTGCATATCTTCTTCTTTTTTATAGCCAAAATTTGAATTGATTTTTTATTTAAATTCGTTTTTGTCGTACATCATTATTTTTATTTTTATTTTTATTTTTTTTTATTTAATTTGATATTTATTGGTTTATTTTTTATTATTTTTGAATTTGAAATTCATCTATTGGAAATTAATTTTTACCATTATAATGTTTTTGCTTTGGATTTGGAAATGAATGCCATTTTTATGTCACTAATGTTATAAAGATGGCAATAGTAACCTTTTGGAAAAACATTATTGCCATGTTTTCTAATCTAAAAATACCATCTTATTTTTGTCAGGATGGAAATAATGTCATTAAGATGTCAATATTGTGGTTAAGATGGCAATATTGTCGTTAAGATGGCAATATTGTTGTGAGATTACTTAGTCATATCAGATCAAAGGTTAGGGCACAGATCTGCAGTGCTACACTCAAGGAGGTTGCGGCGGCCGGCGGTAACGCTGGATAAGGTCTTGGATGAAGTCTCAGGTTACGCCTTTGGTGGTGGTCCTGACACAGGTGGTGGTGGCGCTAACGCAGGTGACGCCGGCGACGGTGGTGTCAGAAAATGTGGAGGCCAATGGTGAAATAGCCTTCGCCGGTGGCGACAAGAGCGGCGGCGGCGGCGAATCAGGCAACCGGTGGTGATGGTGTAGAGGAGGCGGTGGACATCGTGCCCAAGGGTTTTGTCGATGTCTGCCTGTTGTACTACTTCATTTTATTACTTTGCTTTGAATAATTAATACTCCGTAATTAATAAAGATACCAGTTTGAGATTTCATTAAGGGTACTTTAGTCAAGTTATCTTTATTTAGTCCTACCGAATCTCACGAATAGTTGAACTCCTATTTGTGCATAATTGTTATATTTTACTCCTATATGGGTAATTAACTCTTAAAGATCTTAACGCGAGATGCTGGTTCAAACACCACTGATCTCCTTTTATTTAAGGCTTTTTTATTACTACGTTATTACACTTCCTCAGTTCCTCTTTCAAGTTTCAAATTTATGGGATCTTATTAGCTTTAACATCTTTCCTCCTGCCACTTTAGATTTCTTTAACTTTTAAGTTACGTTTTTTATTTTTCCAATTCAATTTTTTTTTTACTTTTTCGAATATTAACATGTTATTTCCTTTAACTATTTATTTCCTCCTATATCATTTTATAAAGAGTTTATCAAGAAAATTTTCAAAACGACTTGAATTTTACCATAACTATTTATTCCTTGGATTAGTACAATATGCCAAAATTTCTTGTGATATTTTAAATATCATCTTTTTATGAGTATAAATAGATTTATGTAATACATTTGCATAAACAAAACAAATATCCTCTTAAGATATAAATAACCTACAAGTAAAGTTGATTTGAAAAGAGAAAAATATAATTATTAATTTCTTGATAAATTAGTAGCTTATATATATGTATATATATAATATTAATTTATCTTCCTCTACTTGTTTAGTTATACTTCTATTTAAACCTTGTTATTCTAAAATAAAAAGACAAATGCATTAAATCGAAATAAACTTGTTACATGAACGAAATCTGTTATTTTGTTTAGGCTAGAACAAAACAAGTATAAAAATGAATAAATGTCTATATTTAAGTTGATATCTATATGTATGTGTGTGCTTGTGTGTGAATTATATATAGGTCCATATAAAGTATCACTTCGTGCAAATGAGAATAACTCTTCTGCATTGGATTTGAAATCAAATTACTGTAAATATATCCAAAAATGTTACAGATTATAGATTTTTCCAATCAACCGTTCGAATTTTTTCGCCCCCCCTCAAATTTTGTTCTGGTTCCGCCACTGATGTTGAATTGTCGTTAATTGCATCCACACGGAAGAAGACGAAGATAGATGGTAATAGAAGTAGGTACAATTGGCTAACTTTAATGTACAACTCATTAAAACACACTCTTACACCAACACATTTTTTATACCTATAATGACCTTACTCTCATTCACCGTTATAATTTTTTAGGATATGAGTTTGAAATTGGTAGGGGAAATTAATATATGACGTGTTTGATGAATAAGATAGAAGAAAATGATATATGTATAATGTATGTACATGTGTATTCGGATAGTCACGTGAATCTATCTACTTCCATGCACGTCAAATGCATGCAAAACTCAAACTTAATGAATGAGCATATTTAACATGTTTTCTCAAATTCAAAAGAGACTTTAATAATGTTTATTACATGTTACCTAAACGTAGATATTGAAAGAATGAAGCGAAGATAAAAATCATGACCACAATTTTTAAACTGACTTATGTGGCAAATTTACACTCCGTCAAAAGTAGAGTGGGGGATGCTTTTTGGAGGTGAATTAAAAGTTGTTAGCCAATAATGTGTAGGGTGTTGGAGTTTTTCTCTCTATCCATTAACTTAGACCTTATTTTTAGGTGCTTGTAGGCAAATCATACACCACTCATTCATTAGTATATTTATTAATTAATTTATGAAATACTTTATTGTGACTATCTCCGACATTAATCATATGACAACATTGATCGAAGGTAAGTGTTTTGATGTTTCTAACAGCCTCTTAATCATTAGGATGTAGATGTTGATGTATTCATCTATGTACTAATGAATAACTTTTGATTCATTCATAAAAGATGAACAAAGTATTACTCAACATCATATGAATTGTTCTGTTATCATATACTATCGTAAGAGATCATTAGCCCGGTGTTTGGGCGGGGTTGATAAGATGATCAAATTTATGCGCTTTAATATGAAATCAAGACAAACCGATATTGATAATAAAGATTTATTACTGCAGATAAAGTAGTTTTGGAGTTTCGAACAACAAAATGGGTAAACATCGATTATTAAATTTCATAAATCTAGACTTTTTGTGTGTTCATTAATATTAAAAGTATATAGTAAAAGTAAGGGGGAAAAATGGCTTGTTTATAGGAGTGATGTGATTAAATCTTATAGTTCTAAATATATCAATAAGATATGTTTAAATTTTTAAAATTTTTGAATGTACTTCAGAAATTAAGATACTTCTGTTACACAATATACTAGTTACACAAGAGTTTATATTATTATTTTTATAGACGCCGTTGATGTTTTACTTGTGTACTCCAATGTGAGACAAAAAAAGAATTTATTCTATAAGTTGTAAGTGGTATATAAATTCATTTCCAAAAATGGTTTCAAAACATATTATCGCATACTATAAATCACATCATTTCATGTGAAGGAATGTTTTGAGTGTGAAAATTGATAATGGATAGTAAATTACCCTAACAAAATTACCCTAATATGAAAGTATCTCATATTAGGCAATTAACTGTTGTTCAGTTATTGCCTCACACCTCTTGTATGATTGATTTAGTTCTAACACTTGTGTTCTTCATATTTCATGTATATTAAAGCCACATTATCCGATTTGTGATCATGACAGTAGAACAACCTAAGAACAGTCCAGCAAAAAAACAAATGTTAGTCATGAGTGAGAGTTATGGAGTTATTTTATACTCACTTCGTCCCGTTGGAATGTTCCCGTTCACTATTCATTGGTCAACTTAGGTCACTCCTAATATTTTACTTTATATATCAAATTTTTATCAAATTGAACTTTTCTTGATCAGGCTTTGTAGCGGTTTTAATGTAGTTTCTGAATATATAAATTTTATTTATTAAAAATAAGCCGAGTGTAAACAAGGGTCGAGTTGCTTTATCGTCAGTCAAGCATCGTAAACCGAACGGGGACATCCCAATGGGACGGAGGGAGTAGTTTCGTAAGTGTGAATTTATCAATTAGACTATTAGAGAATCTCTTGATACGAGACACATAAATCATTCTTGTTCAAATCTTTTTTATGGTTGAATTAAACCGATCTAACTCTTAACGTATTTGTATTTTATACATTGATGCTTATTGAGGTGGCCTATTTTCCTGTAATTAAAAATTAATAATGCAAGGTATGTAGCTAGTTTAGTGTGTATTGATAGTATAACTTGAAAAAAGTTTGATGTTAGTGTTAATATATATACAAATTTTGAATGGAAGGATATGACCCGCGAGATGAGGAAATTGTGTCCCAATTTTGACAGAGAAGATGGGCTAGAGACGGTGTTGGAAGTGCCAATTCCGGAGGAAATGTTTTCGAGCATGGGGAATAATGTTGCTGTTCGATGGCAAAACATGTCGACATGGATGAAAGCTCAAACATTGGATAAGTGGTCATCACCAGTTATTGTTGCCCGTTACAATGAGATGAGCTTCCTGCTGTATACTTTAGGATCTCCTTTGATCCCTCTCCAAGTTCATTTGGACCCTTCTGTTCAACGCCCTATAAAAAATTCCCCAATAGTAAGTATGCCTTTTAAATATAAGGGCTTATGCGCACTGTTAAAAATCAAAATCATGTTAAAAGATTAATGAACAAAGATTTTTGTTGTTTTCACCGATCAAGTGATTCTTAATATGTTTTGTGTTGTCAAATGAATCTAAATAAATTAAACTACTATTCACAACTATACAATTAAGTTATCCCTCACATCATATAAGAGGTAAGGGTCAGACTGGTACTCGAAGTTGCATAAAAGGGGTCAAATAAGTCCTTACTGTCCGGCCGTCGCCATTTGAGGCGGTTCTTGGTGGAATTTTTTGATGAAATTGTTTGAGCATCTTATTCATTAAGTCTAGTTTACTCATACCAAATTTCAACTAAAACTTCAACCGGAAAGATATTCAAATAAATTCTTGAAGATAACTGCGCAGTTATCTTCAAGAATTCATCTGAATGCCTTTCTGGTTGAATTTTAAGCTGAAATTTGGTATGAGTAAACTAGACTTAATGAATAAGATGCTCAAAATATTTTGTCAAAAAATTCCACCAGGAACCGCCCCAAATGGCGACGGCCGGACAGAACCTCCTATACAAGGACTTATTTGACCCTTTTTATGCAACTTCGAGTACCAATCTGACTCTTACCTCCATCACATAATTATGGAAACTTAAACATATGTTGAGAAGTGATACATTCCATTCCCAAAACTGACCATCTAGCCAAATATTATGCTCTCAAGGATAAATTGAGCTATAATCAGAATCATTTTGGTAGATGATTAGGTCTGCACCTGCACTTATATGGACCCCTTGTTATCTATATATAGGGATCACTTATTAACCAATATTGTCTTTTATCGCAGTTTCCATAAATTAATATGGGTCTACAGACTAGTTGAGTTATGTGTACATGTAATTTAAGGATGTTTTTACTTGGACTGTAATTTGTCCCAGACTAGACCAGACCAGACCAAACCAGTTCAGACAAGACCAGACTTGGATAGTTATAAAAATACAAAGAAACCAGACCTTACCAGACCAGACCAGACCAGTTCAGACCAGACCAGACCAGACCAGCAAATTACAGTCCAAGTAAAAACAACCTAAGTATATATTACAACTTGTACACACACTATTGAATATTATCCTTAACAATGATGATAATATAGAATATAAGTGACTCAACTTAGAAAATTTCAAATAATTTAGGGACCAATCAAAACACTCAAATCCAATGCTATAAACATTCTTTTCAGTATCACTCATTTCAATAATAAAATGTGTAAGTGTGTGTAAGGAAAAATTGAAGTAGTACTATAATTATAGTAAAATGCATGTTAGAAGAACAATAATATAGTGATGAAGTCAGACCATGTTTCTAAAAAGATCACCTTATTTTTACATGTCCAATGCTCTTTTCTAATTGGTTCTGTAACACTCATACGTTTAGCAATATTTTAAAAATTCAATTTACAAAACTCATAACTGAAAAGAAAAAGTCACCTAACAAGTGCATTATATTTGTCTCTTATGCATATTTTGTGATTACATTATCACAGGAGGCATCGACGGCTAAGTACATAATCACGCAATACATTGCAGCAATAGGAGGACAAGCTGTAATAAATAATGTGCGTAGCATGTGCATAATTGGACACATAAAGATTGGGACGTCTGATTTTCATCAAGGTGACCAAAATGTTAAAGCAAGGACAAATGAGGAGCGAGGTGGGTTTTTGCTTTGGCACAAGAACCCTAACCTATGGTGCCTTGAGATGCTCATATCTGGATGTAAAGTTATATCTGGAAGTAATGGTAAAATAGTCTGGAGGCAATCCTCTAATCAACAAAGGCCTATCAGTAAAGGCTCTCCCAGGCCTCTTCGTAGATTTTTGCAGGTATATATTACCAGTTAATATTTTTCATACAAAAATAATGGTTTCATAGTTTATTTTTTGGGCTTCCCCGATCAGCACACAAGGTTTCCCATAAAATTTGAGTAGGTTGTTGCATAATTAAAATAATCATACAAAGATCGACTTTGTTGGCAAGGTTTTACTTTTACCATATGATTAATAAATAAATTTCTTTGAACCCTCAACAAAGATGTCATTTAATAGTATATTGGAGGTAAATAGTTCATTTGGTACTTTATATTATACTATCCTATGTTTTATGTAGCTTTTATTTGTCAACTCTTTAGTGTGTCCGAATAATGTCAAACGGATAAATTTAATTCAATTGAAAACGAATATACATATTAGATCAAGTGTCATATTACCTCGATGGAGAGAGAATTCTACGTGTCATATGACATGTATTGGCTCTTAGTCACACTACCATGATGTTTATGTGACAATTGAGCTCTGTTAATTTTTACATAAATTTACTCAAGTACAACGGAAATAAAAAAATTCACAACTTGGTGTGCAAGTCAAAGACATTCTTGAGTTGACAAAAAGATACAAATTGAATACTTGTAGTAATGTTTAAACATTGTACTTGCATTGAATCTTCTCCTTTTAGAAGATGATTATTCTTTTTATCCCCACCCCAAGTTCTAATCCAAACATGTTTGAAGAAGCATTGAATGCAACATAATACCGATGTTATAGGGTCTTGATCCCAGATCTATAGCCAACTTATTTATAGGCGCAGTGTGCATAGGGGAGAAGATAATAAATGGCGAAGATTGTTTCATACTTAAACTCGAGACTACGCAATCTGATTTAGAGGCACAAAGTGGTCCAAACTTTGAAATAATTCATCATACCATATGGGGATACTTTAGTCAAAGATCAGGACTTTTGGTGAAGTTCGAAGACTCAAGACTCCTCACCGTGAAATCGAGTAGAGAAGAAGAAGGGGTATTTTGGGAAACAAGCAATGAGTCCATGATTGAAGACTATAAGTATGTGGATGGTGTTAATATTGCGCATGGCGGAAAAACTTTTGTCACTGTTTTCAGATATGGTGAACAATCAGCAAATCACAAGAGGGAACTCCAAGAAACTTGGAAAATAGAAGATGTTGACTTTAATGTTGATGGCTTGTCTGATGAGTTCTTCATGCCTCCTACCGAATTTAAGAAAGATTTTTGAGCTGGACAAAATGTATATGTTCCTTGAAGAATTAGCTAGCACTAACTTTTGTTTTTTGCTTTTTATGTTGATATTGTAAATTTGTGAGTTTTTTGCACACTTATTATTTGTTATGATTTTCTAAAGCAAAGTCGAAAAATATCACCCAAAACATACACAATGTCGTTAAAATGATGGAAATATAAATCCAAATTGCAATACTGAATCAAAACATATAGATTATAATACGAGCTACTCAGTAATGTTAAAAAGCATTGCACTTCAAATATGAAACATACATTTCAGCAACTGAAGCACATACATGACTGCAACCACGTTGCTAAAAAACGGCTTAGTCAGACCGGTTAATTGACCTAGTCAACCAAAAAAACGGCCTAGTCGGTCCTCGCGCCTGACTAGCGCCTAGCTAGTTTTAGAAAAATGAGTGCAACATATTGCTGCAAAACATTAATTCCCTAAACAATGCAAAAGTAAGAAAAAAAATGCGATTTACAGGACATCTGAAATTGAATTTATGATATAAAGACTACATCGTTGAATGTGACTTGTGCTCTAAGCATTCTTGTATACGTAGTACATTACAGAAAAAGATACATAGAGGACACACACTATGATTAAATGCACCTTAGCTCTTCTTCATTCATTTATCAAGCATCCCACCATACTGACTTTGCATGTGTCACAATTGTAACACAACTTGATCAAGTCGTTGCTCCAAAATTATGCAATTACTATTTGCGAGCAGTTCAATTTGATCCATATATTAGCCTCACATATCTATAATCTATACACACATTTTGGACGAGTTACATCATTCTGATTGAAATGCTTTCATAAAAGTGCTATATTTATCTGTATATATAATGTATTCATGACATTATATATATGATGTATTCATGACATTAGTAGTTTGAGGAATGTTAATTTATGAAACAATAATAAATTTGGATGATAATATGGTGGATATTGGTTATATTGTTAAAATAAAATAATGATATTTAATATTCACTCGTGATTGATTTTGTGGAGTTGGTGTCACGTGTTTCAGAGATTATAGACCAGTGCAACCACACACTATACACCTAATTGCAGACCTAAATGAACGAGTGATGCTGTGGAAAGATGGGAATGTAAAATGAGAAAGAGATGTATAAATGATGAGATCAGTAGACATTTAGCAAACTTCAATGACAAAAGTAGGAATCTATCTGTACTCAAGCGCACAAGATAAGAACTATTGATCCAATCACTTTGAGGAAACAATAAAAAAAACTAAAAGTAAGATAGAAGGTATTTCTTTCGCACTTTTGAATTATTAAATTATACCCTCTTATGGTTTAGAATCTTAACTTTCACTTGTATAACAACTCACTGAGTTCAAATAACAATAATAACAAGTGTCCCAAGCCTCCCAAATTTGAAAGGGTATAAATAGATTCATTTTGTAGATCCACTTTTTCGTATATTCAACATTGATGTATAATGTTCATGTAATAAATCACCATGCAAAATATTGCACAACTTAAATTATTTCAATCATACAAAAGCACTCACTTGTGAGTCGTGAGTTTCACATTTCTATTTGTAGTTTTCTATCGGGTTTATTGCACCAAACCCCCCTGTGATATGAAAATTCAACGCATTAGCCCCTGTGATTTAAAAAATGCGTCAAACCCCCTTGTGTTTTAATTAATTATGTGCAAAATCCATTTTATGAACAAATCCAATTGTCAAATAAAAGAAAAATAATTAACATTTATGTATGATTTAGAGATTATGACATATTTACTTGCATATTCAATCATAATATTAGGAAAAGTGGTTTCCAGATCGTTAAATTTATTCACAAAAGGGGTTTTGTGCATGATTAATTAAAACACAAGGGGGTTTGACGCATTTTTCAAATCACAAAGGACTAATGCGCTGAATTTCTATATCACAAGGGGGTTTGGTGCATTAAACCCGTTTTCTATCTGTAGTGTTTCACAATTATTTCTCTCTTTTGCAGTTGTTTCAAATTTTCCTTTTCATCTTTTTTCAAATTAGCCTGAGAACGTAATTACAGGAAGAATAGTAACACAGTCAATATATTTGACGAAAACTAACTTTAACTACCTACAATTAATTTTAGGACGGAGGTCAAGATTTGCAATTTCCAATGACCAAACAAGGCCTCCATTTTACGATCAGCCTGGGGTTCGTTTTCACACGGACGCTGACTCTCTCGAATCTCATCCGTTCCTACGCAATCCAACGGATTAAACTGAACCAAAGAGTTGCAATTGGATCGAGTACTTATTACGGAGTACAAATTACAATTCTCGCAGTTCCCGAAGCTTTAAACTCTTGGATGGAAGAATACGCTCTCGAATCCAAATTCAGTCAACAGTCATCCAAGTTTCACAGTTTAGTCATCTTCAGCCTCCATTTTACCGAACAAAGCTCTGTCTTTCTTCTTCAAGCAGTTGGTATAGCCCTCAAGCACCAGTTTCCTTTCTGCATCTCTAAACTATCCACTTCGGTATGAACTGACGCGTAAACATCGCGTTTTGTAGTTCATTTGCTGGGTGAAGCTCGATCTCAGCTTGGAAAGGCGTGGTTTAGTGTTTGAGACGCTCGAATTGTCGTTCCCCCGACTCTTTGAAAAGTTAATTAGGGTTCCCGAGATCCGTCAACTGTAAATTTTGACGACTGATAAGTCTTTCCTGCAGCATACCATCTTTCGTATCTGAGCAGGTTGGTTGACAGGGGCGCTGTATTGGTGGTGGAAGTAGACCTGGGATTGAAGTTGAATATGGGATTTATGCTGATGTTCGTTTTACTCCCGGGCCCAGATTGAAGTGTTTGGTGACAAACTAGGGTTTTGCATTGTAAAGGTTTGAATTGGTATTTGTTGTTGACTTCTTGGTTTGGCTGTAGAGTAGAGGACTGCAGCTTCAAGCACGTATCTTTAAAGATAAGAATTTGCGGTTCTGTTGGTGTTGTAAGAGTTTCTCCGTTAGGCAGTAGAGTAGAAATAGAAAAGAAATGTTCTATTCGCAGTTTATACTCGCTAAAAAGGGTCCTTTAGGGACCATATGGATAGCTGCACATCTGGAGAGAAAGCTAAGAAAGAATCAGATTGCTGATACTGATATTGGCGTCTCTGTAGGTCAGTTTTTGTTTACATTAATGTACTATTTCATAGTAATCAACTCAGGAGTGACACTCCTTAATTGACAAATACCATTGTTTTACTTCTATGACTATTGCATAGAATCCTTTTTTTTTTTACTTCTATGACTATTGCATATTAAATGCTTATTCAATGGCATATCAGTGCAGAGATTGGCTGCTCAAAATATACCACTAGATTTTCAAGCGTGTTTTTTTCCTAGAGAACTTCTATGGTGCCTCCTTTTTTAGGGTGCAATACCTTCACCTAGGTGGGCAAGTATAAATACATGGGAAACTTAAAACGCTTAATATAAAAAAAGTACATGTTTTATTTTCAATGTAGTCCTCAAGTAATAGAACTATAGAAGTTTTTTTTAATTATTAGCAGTCATTTCACAGATGGAACAGACAAATTTTATTCTGCAAATCCGATTATGAGGTTGTTCGGTTTGAATAAAATAGTAATGGATAGAAAGATTCTGTGAAGCATTTTTAACACGAGATCTCATAACACCTCTTTTTGAGCACAAAGTTTGTCAGCCATTTAAACCCATTCTGGAAAACTGATATATAAGTTGATGCATTGAATCCGAAAAAAATAAAGTAGAGCGAGGGAGGAAGGATCGAACAACATAATGGAGGGCTAATGTGTTTTTTTCCCAGTGTGTCTGGCTCTTTCCAATCCTGTTAGTGTTGTGCTTTACAAGAGAACCTTAGTGCTTAGGTAGCGTGTGTCAAGGGTAATTTGATTTGATTTCAGAACCCTTTTATATTTGCTTTGTGTTTGCCAAGACCTGTGCTTTCTATGTTGTTTTGTGCACAAAACTATACCTTCCCAAATCATCTGCACCCAAGATTGTACCTTGAAAAGATTATATGTTCTTCCCATTGGGAAGTGTATATATTCTGGCGACAGTAATACGGCAATGTCATGCAGTGTTTTTTTCTAAACGGTGGCAACAACAAAGCTTTCTTTTCCTTTTTCTATCGATCAACAAGAGGAACTAAATTACAAATAATGAATATTGGTATTCCCCCTTATGATGTGGCACTTTATTAAAATGTGATTGGTTAAAAAATGAAGGTACCAAAACTCAGCAAATTTATGTGTGCCCCCTAGATGGAAATCTTTTCCTATTTTGTCATCACTTCCTTTGTTGTATCATGTAGTAAAGAAAAGTACAAAAGTGATCCTGAAGTCCATCACTCAAGTCCTTCTAATTTAGGCTTATGTTTGGCTACATTTTGCTGAAACATTGCTACATTCATGTATGTACTGATTATACGTATAAGTTTCTGTGTTGATCCCAAATGGGAATATGGGATAGCTTTTTCTATTTTTTTCAGAGATAGGGATATTCTTTCTCATTGTATGTTTTTCATTTCAAGTTAGCTTTGTATTGTAACTTATCTTTGACTAAGTTGTTATATCAATGGAACTGACTCATTCTCTTAATTGTCAACAGACACAATTCTTTCCCCTGATGCTCCAATTGCTCTCCGTTTATCTAGCCATCTTCTGCTTGGTGTTGTGAGGATATACTCTAGAAAGGTGAACTACCTTTTTGATGACTGTAGTGAGGCGTTGCTCAAGGTCAAACAAGCTTTTCGCTCAACAGCTGTGGATTTACCTCCGGAAAAGTCTAAGGCACCATACCACTCTATCACATTGCCCGAGACTTTTGAACTTGATGATTTTGAACTTCCAGACATTGACATTATTCACGGGTTTGTTTCAAAACATTTGTCTTCCCATGGCAACTTTAGTTTAAGAATAAAGTGTGGAATTCACAAAAATCAGCAAAATGTATGACCATCAGATGCTTGAATGTTATTGTTAGTCGATGTATGTTTGGTACTGTCTCAGTCCTGTATCAAGGTTCCTATGAAAAAGGCACCATTTTTAGACAAGTAATTAAATAAAGCAGTTTGAGGCTTGAGCACAAAACATAGGAAAGAAAAGACTAAAAAGGTAAAAATCAAAGTAAATAGTTGAGTGGGTTGGAATATAATTGGGTGAAGTAATTGATGAATAATGGTGTTATTATGAGTGCATTTATTTGAAAAGTAATGATGAAGTTATCATTTAACACCTTTAATTTTTCCCATAAAAGAAAAGGAAACTTGATATGGGACTTCTAGAAAAGGTTAGCGGGAACCTTAAATTGGGATGGAGGAAATATATCACTATATCATAATTTCAGTGAATTAGAACCTCTGTGTTGCTGTTAGAGATCATAAAGATCTTTCTATGTCGCGGCATCTTATTAATTATGCGTGTCTACATTTCCTTCCTGTTCTCTATTTGTGCAGTAACTATGTAGACCATCATGTGAGCTCAAAAGAGCAAATTACACTCCAAGACCCCATGGAAGGTGTTGCTTACTCCACATCTAAATTTGGACCAGATGGTATGTAGTATATTTACACTTAACATAACATTTCATACTTATAGCATTACCAGCTGATGCTTATACATATGTATTTTGCTTAATATAATATGATGGTTTCATTACAGAGAGGTTTGGTGATGGCGATACTTTAGGCTTAGACTTTGATGAGGTAAGTAGGTAACATACTAGCATCTACTTTTATTCAGAACTGGTAACATATAGTAAATCTTGTAGGTGGGAATGATTTTTTATTACCCACTTTCATACCTATTAGAGTTTTCCAATTTCCCCCTTAACTGGATCTTCTGGGAACAGGAATTGTTTTTGGACAATGTTGCTGCCACAGGAGATGCTGGTGTAAGGTTAATCTCAAGCTACTCTATATTATCTGTGTTACACTACAGTAATGAATTCTGGACAAGCCTGATTCTATTGGCGTTAACCTGATAGGTTTACATGCTTAGTTTTTGTGAAGCTGCCACTTATGTCTATTAACTTGTTAAACTATTGTGTTAGTGCTTTCTGTCATCTTGCATACTATGTGTTTTACCAGCCTGAATTTGTGTCCCGTAGAATCTAGATAGTAGTTCAGTACTGTCCTTCATATTCTGCACCTTTTGGCAAATCACAAATGTATAGGCTATAGAGTAATTTGTGCAACATAGGAACTACGAGTCTACGATGTGTTACATCTTAAAAAATGCTTTCTTAAGGCTTAACTTGGTAAGAACATTAAATCTGTTATCTGTTTTGACAGATAGTAATCATAGTATAGATCCCATTGATCAAATACTGAATCATACAATCAATACTAATTCACATGTGCTGGGTGTGGGTTTTCCCTTCTCTTGAACATGATTATTTTTTCTTCTGTAATTTAAATCCACATTGGTGCGTGAGTGGAAGTCCTTCAGAATCCTTTTCAAGACTCTTTGTGATTATCTGTTGAATTTATTTAGAAAATAAGGATTAGATGGAATTTGCTAATGTGTTTAATGTGTCTTTATTTATCATGCTATTTATCTTCCTAATAAATGAACATGACGATACCATCATCTATTAATGATAATCCAGTGTTGACGCTCAAGTGTCTGTTGAACCTATGACGCCTTTGAAGCAAGATGAACTTCATGATGCTATGGCTGCAAATTCAGAGAGCATGGTAATTGAACATATAGGGTTAATTAGTTGAAACATTAAATGGCTCCCTTTTTTATTTTGTTTGTTTCAGTGTGAATATTTCATGTTGCAATTGTTGTTGTTGTTTTCATTATCAGGTTGATGGTGCTGAAGGAGATACTGATTTTGTGGAGTATGCACATGCCCCATGCACCCCTGGGCTAGCAGAGGAGCCAAATTTATCTAACATTCAAGAGACTTCTGCATGTGATGACCATTTAGAAAATGAGTATCAGAATCCAACTAAATCAATCATAGAAGGACGCGTGCATAATATTCCCTTGGGAGATGATGTTTGTGATGGGAGTAGTCTTACCAGGCATATGCCTATGCCTAATAATGCACATCCTGATGCAGTCTCAGATACCCAGTTTGAGGAGAATGGATGCCATTCAGGAGCTGTACAGTTTCCATCTTCTGAAGTTGCTTTTGAATGTTTTCCATTGGATAACCACACTTTGGTGTCTGAAACACCAGCTCATGTTAATCCGGTCAGTGCCCCTTTGCAAGAGTTAACTGATGAGACTGTTAAGCCATCTGATGACCCCAAAGAGGCGGAAATAACTCAGAATCAGATTTTTGACAATGACAAGGTGGACATATCTTCACACAGTGGCTTGGACAAAGACTACCCAAGTCACGATAGAATTAATTTGAAAGAAAATGCATGCAATATTCCTGGTTTAAAGAGTATTGAATTTTCAGTTTCAGTTGATGCTATGCAAGTCTATCAGACATCACCTAATGGACATGAACCAGAAATTCATCAAGAGCGAATAAATTCCATCAATTTAATGAACTCAGCCCAATTTCACATTCTGAAACCATGCAGTGCTCAGAACCAAGCTGACACATCAAAACCATGCAGTGAACACCTTGATCTTGAGATACAATCTGATTGTAATGGCCTCTATTCTCCTAAAACTTCTGAAGTAGACATCTCATCTACTTTAGAGCCTTCTATTGTCCAAGGTATGTGAGGAGTAATGGAAGTATGTCAATGTGTTTATCCAATAAATGTTTATTGTTTAAAACTCTTATCACTTATATGCTTACAAATTTTCTAGGTGAGACATGTCCTCTTACCAAGAATTTCGAACATATATGTTGTGAGAATCACGAGGAAGGGCCTAAACTGTGCGGAGTCGGTCAGGCAAGTAGTGAGAAATCAAATGTTCTAGTGGAGGATGTCGCTGTCATTTCTGCGCATTGCCCAGAACAAAATCCATGTAACTCAGCTCTTCAAGAAGTGCCTAAACTGTGCGGAGTCAGTCAGGCAAGTAGTGAGAAATCCAATGTTTTAGCGGAGGATGTTGCTGTCATTTTTGCGCATTGCCCAGAACAAAATCCATGTAACTCAGCTCTTCAAGAAGTGCCTAAACTATGCGGAGTCAGTCAGGCAAGTAGTGAGAAATCAAATGTTCTAGCGGAGGATGTCGCTGTCATTTCTGCGCATTGCCCAGAACAAAATCCATGTAACTCAGCTCTTTCTGATCTTCCAACACCTGAGAAATTTGTGTCTGTACCAGGAGGAGTTGTTGATTTACAAAGAGGTGTTTTAGTAGAGGATTCACAAGGATTGTCAGGTAGGATTAATGACACTTGTCCTAGTGATTCCAAATTCATATCTGGAAGAAAGCGCAGTTATACTGAAAGCACACTAACAGAACAAAGTCTAAACTCATTTGAATCGTCAAGGATGACCCATTCCAGAACCACAGAACTTATTCCCAATGATGAAGATTTGTTGTCTTCGATACTCGGTATGCTTATTTCTGCTGTTCTTCTTTGCAAGGGTTTCCGTTCTATCATTGGGGGAAAATAAACCTTGTTGACTCGTTTTTTTTTTGTGTTGTATGTTTATTTGCTTAAATTCAGCGGGGAAAAGATCATCAACCCTGAAATTTAAGCCCACTCCTCATGATAAGTCATCTATCAAACGCCGTCGCATTGCCCGGACTAGTATTTTAAAGAGGAAAGTGCTTATGGATGTTACCATGGTGTTGCATGGGGAGTATGTTTCTTCACTTGAACTATTATTTCAATGTCTATTTCTAGTGCCATGCCTACCATAATTATTATCATAAACTAATGAGAAAATTCTCTAAATAAGATCAAAACATAAATAAAATGCACAAATAGGATTCCATTTATTTCTTCCTAAAATTGGCAGGACTCATTCACTCCTGATTAGGAAACATTTATGCTCTTAATAGAACCAAAAACTACTATTATGGGAATAAAACATATATACTCCTATTTGTGCATTTTGTCTGTCTTTTAGGATGTTTTTACTTGGACTGAAATTTTCTGGTATGGTCTGGTCTGAAAAATGTTTGGTCTTTTTTTTTTTATAAGTTTGGTTTGGTCTAATCTGGCCTGATCTGGGAATTAAGTCCAAATAAAAACACCATTACTCCTATTTGCAGCAATTTATTTAAATTCATTAATCACTTTTGTATTGTTTGTTCCAACTAGGCTATTCAATTGGCAGGGGGTGAATATCTGGAATGTCATGTAAAATTTAAGACTATTACTTGCTGCGTAGTATGTTCTAAAATAAGTGGTATCTGTTTGTAGGAACTGTGTTTTATCCTCAGGATTGTTGGATATCTCATAGAACCATCATTTGCTTTCCCTTCTTAATTTTATTATTATATTGACTAACTGTTATAAAATGTCAATCACCTGCATGAATCAATTAATTTGCGGTTCAGTGTGTAATGCTTTACGTGCTTGCACTTTCTGTACACTACACACTACACATCCATTACTGTGTGTGTTGCTCACTTGGTAGCTGAAGTTTCTTATATTTATAATTACAGAGTAACTTATAGATGTAGTCATGTAGACTCTTATATTTATACTTACAGAGTAACTTATAAATGTAGTCATGTAGACCACCAAACATTTTGTGATGAATTCTACTACTGCATTTCTCTAAATACCAACTGATCATATCATTTCTCTTTTACAGTACTATACGGGAACAACTAACTTATACTGAAGATATACGTCGTGTACGCAAGAGAGCTCCTTGTACATGCTCTGAAATTTCATTGATAGAGAAGCAAATATTGGAAGATCAAATTTTCAGTGAAACATTATTAACTGGTGAGTTAACTTTGCTGCAATTATGATGGATTTAGAGTTTTGGCATCTCCTTAATTTATGCTAATGCTGTTCATATAAGAAAAATGGTGCCTCTTCCAGTAGAGCTTCAACATGAATTTTTTGATCTAAATTGCGAATTTCTTTCAATATGAATTAGGCATAGGAAAATGTTGGAGTACAGTAAACATCTAAAAAGCGCTACAAAAGTGTATGTGTGGCTCTCGTGATGAGCATGAGTTTGCCAAGGTTTACATGTCAGTTCTGCAAAAAATTGTTAAGGGCTTTTGTACTTATTTCTTAACCTTATGCATATGTTCTCTGGAAAAGTTGTCACAACAGTCAAATTATCCATATTTGAAAATACAATTTACAAACAGCAAGATAGCCCTCTTTCCCGTCCACCTTTGCAATATGTTCTTTTTTTTATCGATGGCATTATGCTAACTCAAATTGGGCACCAAATGTACGTTCTTTAATCGATTGGCAATATGTTCTTCATTATGGGCGTGGTTTGGATCTTGTTTTAGATCTAGGAAATAGAGAATGGGAGAGAGGAATAATAAACTAAGTCTAAGCTAGAATTAATCAATGCCCGACCTTTGAATAATAGTGATGACCCTTACATAACTATTACAAGTGTCCTAATTATAAAAGGAAATAAATGTTAATAAAAAGTTGCCTAAAACAGAATAAGAATATTTATGAAAGGAAATAAATTCTAATTAAGAAGTTGCCTAAGCACACATAGGATTAATAATAAAAGTAATTCTAATAATACAAGGTTTTTTTTTCTCACATTACATTGTTTGAAGTTTCCTGCCGGTTACAATTACACGCAGGTATCTTTTCTAATGCGAAAATGTTATGATGTTGTCTCTTCAGAAGAATAAAGATGCATTTCTCATTTTTATTATTTTATGTTTTCCTTCATTTTTCGAAGGTGTTTCAATGGAATTGGGGTGTTTGCAAAAGGAAACCTTTGATCTGATGGGTATCAAGGTCTTGCAAAATGTTCAAAGGGAAAATGATCCAAAGCAAACATCTGTGCCTGATGAAAACAGTAAGACATTGGGCATCCAAATTTCTGACAAGTTTGATGGACCACATACTACGAGGGAAAATGAGAGTGGAGGTGCTGATGAATCTTCAGTAAGAAGAGACGATGGAGATGTAGATGCTGTCCTTGCCACAAACAAGCAGGGTGAACATGACAACCAATCTTTAGATGATAATAATGCCTCCCAGATGCTCATGGACACCACTGTCGATGTAGATGAAGCTCGTGCTTTACAACTTGAGTTTTCAGGAAATGCAGTTGAGGCAGAAATTGATATAGCAAAAAACACGGCTTTGGCTGGAGTTGAGTTTCTATGCCATACTAATGGTGCTTCGGGTGACTTAGCTGAAGCTAATGCTTCTCAATGTGAGGTTTCTGGTAATGCAGTCGAGGTAGGGATTGAACAAGTTAACAACTCATTATGTGATGAATTGGCTGGATTTGGGTCTCTATACCCTACAGATGGTGTTTTAGCTAAAGCTAATGCTTCTCAACTTGAACATTCTGGAAATGCTGTTGATATGGAACTTGATCAAACAAACACTTCACTTGACGATGCAGAAAACAATGCTTTGGCTGGAGTTGAGTGTCTTTACCGTATGCATGATGTTTTAGCCGATGCTAATGCATCTCAACTTGTGTTGTCTGGAATTGGAATTGACTCAGGATTCGACCAAACAAACGCTTCAATCGATACTGATAATGCTGCTTCGGCTGGAGTAGGGTTTCGATACCCTTCTGATGCTGCGTTGGGTATTTCATCTGCGTTGGTAGTCACTGATTGCAATGCATCTAATGGCCTGGATTCCTCTATGCAGTTAAATGGATCTTGCATGTCAAATGAGCACATGATGGGTAATGAAGATTTTGTGCCGACAAACATGAGCTGTGATAAACTCATTAATGATAATAATCTTCTAGAAGGTAACACTGTTGATATCGCTGAAGTTGAAAATTACCCCCGAGCCAAGGAAGGTGTATCATCGGGTGTAGCCCAAGTTGATGCTGAAATTGAAGCTAATAAAGATATCAGAGCAGAATATGATCCCCAGTTCGTGACTAATAATGTTATATGTGGTGAGAACCTTACAGTAGATGACACCACAGGTGCTGGAGAAATTCCTTCTGAACAGGAAACTTATCTACAAAGCTTGTTTGATGGAGAAGAAACTGTTATAGAGCTTAATGTTCCAGATGTAAGTTCACAATTCACTTTGAATTTCATGAAGTTTTATTTTCTTCAGCATTCCACTTGGTTGTTTTTCCCTCCTGGCACTAGGTTAGGCTTACTTTTCTTTATTTGCTTATGACATTTAGAGGGCAAGAAAAGATACCTGTACTGGAGACTACTGGGATATGCCTCATTTTTGCACTGTTCTTTGAAGTTCCTAAAATAATAACTTGGCAGTAAGGCAAATACGTTTCAACTGATTTTAGATTTAAAAATCAAAATTTTAATTTATAGTCACCTTAAATAGTTGCTCTTTAAGAAACTAAAGATAGTGTATTTCCCTGTAATGACCTTGAATAGTTACTCTTTGACGAACTAAAACAGTGATTGAGAATTGGTTTATCACATAGGTCCACACACTTGACATAAATGAATATGCCCTGGTCTTTGTGAGAATAATGAGTGTGCTGTGATATACAATGCATCCCATCTCTTCTCATTTATCCAATTTATGCCTATGCTCAATGGCAGCTCGTATTCTATTTCAGTTGTCTTGAAAGCATTTCTTTGATTATCAGTTCTCATATTTATATATTGAGCCAACAGTCTTTATTTGATTTTTGCCTTCTAGGTGCAGGTTCCAAATTACTCTGGTGCTATGAATGATACAGGTTTGTTGTCTCATTTGCTATTCTTCTTTTTTTAACTATTATTCCAAGTGCATCACCTAAACTTCCCCTCTTTCACTGAGGCAGATAAATGCACATTCTACTGCCGAAAGTCAATGCACCCCCTTGTCCCACTTTCCATTTGGAGCATCCCATTTTTGTTGTCTTATCTTCTAGATATATGATAGTCTTAAAATATCTTAAAATGCATAGAAATGAATAAAATGATAAAGATCCTAATGATGAAGTAGCAAAAGTCATAAACATTCTATGTTTTCAAGAAAATCAATCATCTAATAGTTTGGTCCGATATTAATCTTCATTAGGTTCAAGGTTGTGATTTTCTTCTTCATCCTCCATGTCCCCAAATAGATCTTTAGTAGTCAGATTCCCCACTGGTTCCTCCTCTTCGACTTCGAGGTCATCTAAATCAATATCAAGTAGCCTGTACGCAAACTGGGATGCATTCACATTCTCCCTTCTGTTTTGGCTCCTTGTATTTGTCCGTGCCTCAGTGGCTTGTTGAGCTGCTTGTACTTGTTCTGAAGTCAGATCATCACTCTAGGAGGGTAGCCAATGTCTGGAACTCTGTTAAACCTAAAATTTGCATCGTAGATTTTCAAATTTTATAAGTAAACGAGTAAGTCTGAGTAACTGGGCGAGTTGAGAACTTCACCGAGTTGAGAAGCTCGCCGAGTAACTCGGAAATAATATATGGACCGAGTCAAATAGCTAATCGGCAAGGTCACCACCCGAGTTGCGAGTACTCGCCGAGTAGATAACCCAGATGAACCAAGCTAATTTGTCAAGTGATTTGCCCAAAAGTTACCATTAAACAAACGCAGGCACATACAACATACATATATGCTTACTTCAACTGAGTTAGTAGCCTAATAACGAACTAAAAATACACACGAGTAAAATTTAATAGTTCACAAATATTTTGATGCATTATTTTCACAAAGGTGTTCTGCATTCCTTTCGCTGCACCACTTAGTTGCTTGCCCTTTCTTTTTATTTCCAGGGTTCCTAAATGACGATAATGATGGCGATGAAGAAGAAGCTGGAGAGGCCGGTGATGGTACGTTTGATGCTGAAAAAGCATGTTCAATTGAAAACAGTGGGTGGTCTTCCCGTACTAGGTATTCTTTATTCAGACACATTTTTGTATACATCGTGTTTCTCTTAATTATTATTCATTCCTTTACCTGAATAATGAGGATACACTGGGGGTACTTATATTGTTAACCTTTTTCAGAGCTGTTGCCAAGTATCTCCAGACTGTGTTTAGCAAGGAAACAGAACATGGAAGGAACACTATTTCCTTGGACAGCCTTTTGGCTGGCAAAACACGCAAGGAAGCTTGTAGGATGTTTTTTGAAGCTTTGGTAGGTTTAAGTTCTTCTCCATCATTGAAAAAGGCCCACCTTTTCATTTTCTCCTGTCCTGAAATAAGGTTCCCCTTTTGATGATAAAATTTGTGTTTTCTTTCTTGTCTCAATAATTTTTGACGACACAATTTAACTCTTCGCAATGAACATGTCAAGTCAAACAAGGAACCTTTTCAGGGTCAGAATGATGATTGCTCTCTCACCCGGATTCACTAACACAATGTTGGATTTGAGTACAGGTTCTTAAAACAAAAGACTACATCCACGTGGAGCAGGCAATTCCATGCGATGATATTACTATACAGCCACGGATGCAGCTGATGAGATCAGAGTTTTGAACAGATGTTGATGTAGGAAAAAGCATGTAAAGTTTGTGAAATCATTTGCTAATCTGTTTTCTTACTGATTTATGGCCTACGTTGACATAGTTCATAAGGCCGAAAATCACGGAATGCCAATTGTCATTTTTTGTTTCTTTTTGGGGGGTGGAGGTGGAGGTGGCATTACCCCTGTTCCCAGTTAAATTAAATTAAAATTAAATAGCATAGAGCAGTAGAAGCGTAGCTGGTCATTAATGCAAGTATTGCGACACTTGACTGTATTACTATTTATACATTACATATATGTATATAAGGCTATAAGCTGTAAAATTACATCTTCTGGGATTGACAGTACTTGCGTGATATGAACAGTTCAGTGTTCATAAATCATCTGGTCTTCCGCCTTAAGTTGGAACCTTGAGAAATGGGAAATACATTTTCAACCCACGTTCGAACTAACCTCTTTACATTCTTTTTTTTTAATAGTTAAAAATTGACGCTCTCCAATGCGTGTAATTATTTATGAAATTATGAGATTTTAGTGAATTACGCAACAGTGCAACACGAACTTTTCATTTAATCTTACGTGGTTACCTGGGATTAGGCATGGCCTCGGTCCGGTGACTCCGGTCCGATTGGCCCGCCACTGTGCGGGACTGGCCCGGAAACTGGCCCGGCCTGCCACTGTGCGGGACCGGATCGGATTGGTGAACCGGTTCCGGTACTGGGACTTGGCCCGAACTGGGGGGATTAAGGGGGCGGTTCCGGGGTTAGATATTTAGCCATTTAGGGACCTGCCCGGCCGGTTAGGGCCCGGTCTAGGCTTTTTTTTTTTTTTTTTGGTTTTTTTTTGTTTGGGCTAAGTTTAGGTGGGCTGGGCTGGGTGTTTTCGAGGGGTTTGGGGGGTGGGGGGTAAAGTGGTAAACATTCCAAGCCCGGTCGGGCCCAAGCCTGAACCGGTATCGGACTGAGCCCGATCCACCCCTACCTGTGTTTTATTGTTTGGAGTTGTTCTGTTTTATCATTTGACAAGCTTGTTGCCACTTGCCAGTGCCCAGTGGTTTTATAAAATGTTTAGAATAAAATAATACTACCTTTATTCCTAAAAATTCTTTCCATTTTAATTTGACACACTTATTAAGAAAGTTGAATAGTGGAATAGTGAAAATGTATGATTGTGGTTGTGTAAGAAAAAAGTAAACTAAATGTGAGCCACACAAATTGTCCAAAAAGGGAGGGTGGGAAGTATATTTGGGAATGGTCCAAAAAGAAAAGTGGGAAGTATTTTTGAGAATAGAGGGAGTATCGATTATGTATTAAGATATACGCAGTATCATTACTCTTAATATTAGGAGTAAATATTAACACTTTTTCAATCCTACTTTGTAATGATATATGAAAGCGTTTATAATAATACGGAGTATTAAAATGATATGGAAGTACCCTTTGTTAAATATGCTAATCCGTATTATAGAAGCATAAACTTTAGGAAAAATTGAAAATAATAATCCCAACTATTGCCGGTCCGCTAATAATAATCCCAACTATTGATTATTTTTGTATAATCCCAACTATATAGATCATCTGCCAATAATGGTCTATGGTCAGATATTACCTCCTATAAAAAGTGAATTTTAAATAGAAATTAAGTGTAAAAATTAAAAGTTGAGATTATTTATAGGGGTTACTTGCTATATCACACCTCATCCACTTTAGAAACTACATAAATTTATTTATAGGGATCACTATTGGCGGAAGGTCCCTCAAGTTGGGATTATTCTGAAATAATCGATAGTTGAAATTATTATGAGCGGACCGCCAATAGTTGAGATTATTACTATCAATTTCTCCTAAACTTTAAGATTTTGCAAAGATATGTTATTAAAACAATTGGTCACAGTTTATTATTTGACTGAAAAAGTGATAGATAAAAAAGTGTTAAAAGCTAAAACCATGTTTTCAAATGACATCTTTTACTTTAATTAAACACTTACAAGCTAAAAGTTGAAGCAGGTAGAGAGGTGTCTAAGGTATTTTTCATTTTTCTATTACACAAAAAGTACTTATATTTGCAAACACTATCTAATTTTAGTTTTTCAAAATCATTATTTTCTTAAGCACTATTAACTTTTACTATTAAACATTTTCTCTAAAACCACTTCAAAAAATCACTTTTACAAGTAGAACCATAATGTATGATGAGAGAGTTAAAAGACTTTTGTATGATTTTGGATCTAAGAGGAAAGTATATATTGCGTTTGAGTCTGATACACCTAGTACATTTTTTATTTTATGATATCAATATAGGCGATTTCGTTTAAAAAAACGAAAATATACACATCAATAATAAAGTTTTCATCTAGATAAGATTTAACGAAAAACTAAAAATGAAAGTCTTTTTCCCTTATTTGACAAGAAATATTGTCTATATCATTTTACATTATTTTTTTTATTTAGAATGAATTTTACTTTATCGATTCAAGCTTGATCTAGTCTAATCGATTTAAGCCTAATCTAATCTAGTCTCTTTAAGTCCAATTTTATCTGGTCTTCCAATAATTGTTTGAAACTTTGAATTATTGGTTTAGAATATTAAAATGTCGACATGTCGTTTATAATTGTTTGAATTATTGTTCGTACAATAATTTACCGTCAAAGAAGAAAAGTCTACCCTATCAATAGTTAGGACACTTAAAGAAAAGTCTCTCCCAACGTAAACTCTCTGCCACTCGAAAGAAACGAATCAAAACCGACTTCCCGTCTCTGTACGCTCAATTTGATAGACGTACACGTGTCGTCAATCTGTAGGTTACAAGCAGCGGTTTCGTCGTAAGTCGGCCAAACTTTTCCTATTTAAAGTCCCATCCTTACCCACAATCTCTATAATCTCTCATCTTCTTCGACAAATATCAGATTTCAATTCCTCTTCTCTAAAGGTACGTAGCGATTCTTAGTTTTGATTTTCAATTGGTGATTTGTTATTCTGTTTATGATCTTTAATGTGAATTATTTCTCTGAGACGATGATCGGGTGTTGATTTGATTATTGTTTGTTTTGATTTCCGCAGATGCAGATCTTCGTGAAAACCCTAACCGGCAAGACGATCACTCTCGAAGTCGAGAGCTCCGACACGATCGACAACGTCAAGGCCAAGATCCAGGACAAGGAGGGGATCCCGCCGGATCAGCAGAGGCTGATCTTCGCCGGCAAGCAGTTGGAGGACGGCCGCACCCTCGCTGATTACAATATTCAGAAGGAGTCAACTCTCCATTTGGTCCTCCGATTGAGGGGAGGTATGCAGATCTTCGTGAAAACCCTCACTGGCAAGACCATAACCCTAGAGGTGGAGAGCTCTGACACCATCGACAACGTGAAGGCTAAGATCCAGGACAAGGAAGGGATCCCTCCGGACCAGCAGAGGCTGATCTTCGCCGGGAAGCAGCTTGAGGACGGCCGCACCCTGGCGGACTACAACATCCAGAAGGAATCAACTCTCCATTTGGTCCTCCGATTGAGGGGAGGTATGCAGATCTTCGTCAAAACCCTAACCGGGAAGACCATAACTCTCGAGGTGGAAAGCTCGGACACCATCGATAATGTGAAGGCCAAGATCCAGGACAAGGAAGGAATCCCCCCTGACCAGCAGAGGCTCATCTTTGCCGGAAAGCAGCTTGAGGATGGTCGTACCCTCGCTGACTACAACATACAGAAGGAGTCAACCCTTCACTTGGTCCTCCGGCTCAGGGGCGGTATGCAGATCTTCGTAAAGACCCTGACAGGAAAGACGATTACCCTGGAGGTTGAAAGCTCGGACACGATTGATAATGTCAAGGCAAAGATTCAAGACAAGGAGGGGATTCCACCGGATCAGCAGAGGTTGATCTTTGCAGGTAAGCAGCTGGAAGATGGCAGGACCTTGGCCGACTATAATATTCAGAAGGAGTCCACTCTGCACCTTGTCCTTCGTCTCCGTGGGGGTTTCTGAACTGGTCTTTAGCTTTGTTGTGTTTCATCTATGTCTGTCATCCCTTTCTGTCTGTCATGTCTGTTTAAATAATTGAATTTTCATTTGTTTGGAATCAAGTTGTTTGCAATGTTTCTTTAATAGAGATCACTCCATAGCATGGCATCGCAAGCCCTACATACCACCTAAAACACTAAAAATTGAACTACTTTGTCTTGAGTTAGTTGTTTCTGCGTAGTGTATTGCATTTCACAACTCCAGTTGAACTTTTTGTGAAATTTTTGTAGTGTTTTTGCTGTTCCCAACTCCGCTTCAAGACGATTAGAATTGAATGTGATGCTGGATCCTAATGTTAATATAGAGCTGCTATGATAAACTTAAGTCCTACTGTTAGACATGGCCTCGGTTCGGGCCGCCCGGCCCGGGACCGGCCCGACCCGCTACTGTGCGGGCCCGGCCCGGCCCGGTTATCCGGGTCCGGGTCCGGTTCGGGCCGGAGGCCCGGGGGTGGGGCGGTTCCGGGCTCGGTTCAAGGTTTTGACGGCCCGGCCCGGCCGGTTCGGGCCCGGGTCCGGGCCAAATCTATTTTTTTTTTAATTTTTTTCATTTGTTTTAGGCTGTTGGGCTTGGGCTATCTGTTTAGGCCGGTTTGGGGGGGGTTTGGGGGGGTGGGGGGTGGGGGGGGTGGGGGGAGAAAGGAAAAAAAAAAAAAAAATTAAACCGGGTGGCCCACCCGGCCCGGCCCGGTCCGGCCCGGAACCGGACCCGGAACCGGTGGCCACCGGTTCGGGCTCGGGCCCAACAAAACAGACCCGAGGCCCGGCCGGGCCTAGGCCCGAACCGGGCCCGAACCGGCCCGGGTCCATGCATACCTACTGTGATAAATAGTTACAAAGGGTCTGATTAGATATTGTCACAAATCATTTAAAATCCAACCTTCTTAATCAGATAACTGATACGTATTAGAATACAAAAACAATGTCACTATATTTAATGCAGGCGGTTCGTCAATATGATTTGCCAACTACCAGGTACAGGAGAAATAGTGTTTTTAAAATGTATGGGAACTGTTTTTGGTGTTTTAAATACTCGGAAAATAAATTTAAAATGCTACCACATCATAGCAATATGCTCGACATTTCTCTTCTCAAATACAAAACCAGATCAACCAAAGACAATTTGAACTGCATACTAAATAGGCAATATACTTCGTATTTGCCTTTACAGCAATTTTTGCTTTCATAAAGTGGGCTAACTCTATGATGGAATGATACAAATTACAAAGTTAATCCACTTCTGTTAAGACCCTGAAAGAAGCTGTGTTTTCTACTCTAATGTCGTTGTGAGACTCTGGAGTCTGAACATTACATAGGGAGCAAAGTGTATCTGTAAATCATCCTTTGGCTGATTGTGCAGACTAAAAAAGCAAAAATGGTTGATTTCGTGCTTGTGAGACTCTGGACATTACATAGGGAGCAAAGTGTATCTGTAAATCATCCTTTGTGTCGCAGAAAATGGCTGATTGTGTTTGTGTGGACTAAAAAAGCAGAAATGGTTGATTTCTTGCTCTGAGTTGTGTAATCATCATCAATCATGTCATATAACTAAACGCACTACAAGTCTACAATGGAGAGAAGAGAAAATCCTCCCGCCTAGTGCCAGGGACTACTCCGTGTTACGTAATTTTCTCCGCCAAAACTAATTGTTTTAAGCTTTTTTTGTTTCGCATCAAATATCAAGCTTCTGTGTATGAGTTCAACAAGGTTTTCAATTCTCTGTTTTATACGTAGTACTATCTCCGTTCTTAAATAAATGTATCCGTTCTTAAATAAATGTAACATATGGAATTTTACACTATTCACATGTTCTACTTTGACTATGTTTTGTTTATTAATGTATGAATATATTTTTATGAAAAAAATATTGTTAAATTTGTCTCATTGTAAATTTTCAATATTTAATTTTTTAATTTTTTTACTAATATAAATTTATATATATTAATGGTCAATGTTGTGTCTCGTTAAGAATGGAGGAAGTATATTTTATAACTTTTAAGAACTCCTTAAATCATCCAAAATAACATCTTAAATCAAATTTAAGATGTTATTTCATCCAAATAACATCTTAAATCAAATTTAAGATGGTATACACCATGTGCAGTAACTTTTGAACTTTGTTCTGCTACTTGCCATATGTTCGAAAGTAATTTCGTGATTTCTAATTCTTTTTTCCTAATCATGAGCAATATTTTTATTCATTCCTTCACCTGCAATTTCTTGATTATTGTCTTTAATGTGCAATCTTTTACCTCTCTCATCAGATTTTGGTATGTAATGGGGCTAAACAAAGTATTATACCAGACTTTTGAACTATGTTCTCTAGGAGATGAGGTTTATTGTTTAGTCTTTTATCCCTGATCACATTAACTGTATATTTCAATATGATCTTTGTATCACAATAAAAAAAACAGATCCATGACATTTTCTGAATAAATGTCATTAAAACATGAATGAATGAACATGCTCATAGGGAACTAAGGTACTTTTGTACTATTATATCATGAACATGATCAAACATGAATTTCATTCATTCATTAAAACATGAATGAATGAAGTATATTATATCTGAATTTAATGACACTTTAGACTGTTGGAGTTTTGGGAAGTGTTTTTTTAATATATGGTCACCTACGCTTTTCCATTTGATTTAAATTTTTATAGGTAAGGTATTTTTTTGACGAATATTCTTTTTTGGGTTTTAGATTACATGGAAACTTCAGCCAAATCCATCTTTTGTCACGGGATAAGAAATTTTGCCGTTGGAACTGACTGGCTAACTGGGGAGGACATGGCTGAAAGCTTTCTTCTTCGTCCACGAGAAAATATAACCCCAACCCCTACTTCTTAAAGTTAAGTTTTCCAATCCATTCAAATTGACCTTCTTATAGATTGGGTTTTGTCTGATCAAATAACGTTTCTAGCGCTTATTATTCAAGCATTGTTGTATAAATAGTGATGTGCTACTGATCAAATTTGGCAGTAAACACACACTTAAATTTTCATGTCAATCACCCGTGGTACATCACTCTTTTTTAAGTGTGTGCTTTAGTCAAATTTCATTTGATTAAGTAGTAGCACATCACTTTTTTATTTATCTTATATGGGATGGATTTATTGTGACAACAATTAATAACTTTTTATGATTAGAAAAAAAGTACGAGTATTTCCATTATAAAACTCCAGCTCTTTATTTGAAGAATTTCCATTATGAAACTTTTATTTTAAAAAAAGTATTTCCATTCGGGAGATAGTCAGGTCTTCAAAACTTACTTTTACCACAATATTGGGTGGGCACACAACTCAAAGTGCTTTTCTCTAAATGCATGGACTAAATGGAATTATAAGAATTAAAAAAAAAATTGATATATAGGAATGTCATTCTTCATATGCATGCACTGATGCACATATTAGCACCAATTAAACATTAGTGTAACAGTGATGTGTTTTTAGCATCACCTTAAATAAAAACTCCGTGAAATGAGATTGAGAATATTAAAACAAAAAGTATTTACCTTAACTGGCTTATTCATATCAAATAAAAAATCAATGGTTTAGCTTAGTATTACTTGATTAGTTAAAGATCACATGAAAATAATCTATACCTAAAAGAACATTAGGCGGTAGTGGCGGTAGTAATTTAAGTGGCATACTATCCTACTTAAGATATACTCCGTACTTAGGACTATACTACAATCTTACCTATACTTTAGGTTATATCGTGTTACTATCTTGGTTTAATTTGGTATCATGTCCAAACAAAACATTCATGAACCTTCGTTGCACTGAAATTTTTGTGAGCAACACATTAAGCTGCTCTAGAAAGTCAAAAGCGGTAAGAGGTATTTGTCAAAATAGCCGTGCTTATATGATATTTTCAGTATGAGAAATGCTAGAGGTACCCCAAAATGGGTACCCCATTTGTACCTCACTCTATGAGTGACTCACAAAACCCCAACCCCACAAAACAATTGCCCTACTTAAATTCATTGCTTTTCTTAACCACAAAACTAGAGAGGGGTACAAAATGAGGCAGCTTTAGAATTTTTCTTTTCAGTATAGATATTTTATGTGGCTTCATTTTGTATGTTTTGAGACAATCTCTCTACATATAAAAGTAATCGATTTTGTCATTTTAGAAGTTTCAAAATACATAAGCATAAATCATACGCAGTACTACGTATAAATTTATAGCTCAATTCAAAAGTAATTTTTGCAAGTAATAAAGAAAACAAGGATGACATTAATAAGGCTACAATGAATCAGACAAGCAGTAACAATATACACTACCATTTAAGTTCTAAGGGAAAACAATGAGAGCCCTTATGCAGTTAGTTGCTCCAGGGATAGTCTCAAACCATAATTCCAAACATTTAAGGCTATAAATCAAAGCTTTCCTAGAGAGCTTTAAAAGTAATACCAGATTTCTATAACAATACATTAACAGGCTGCTCTCATATATGTATCTATTTAACTAGGCTACTAGCCTACATGTAAGTATTAATATACAGTACTACGTACTATATTTGTACTATAACTATTATTTCAATCCTAAATCCTAATTATTATACTTAATAAATAGCTCCTATTCCACCAACATTCTTATAGTTCTTTTTAGAGTAAAGAAACTTAATTTTTTTGTGCTTTAGGGAATTATTGGCTTAATATTTGACAAAGCAATATTGGAGTCCACATGTTGCACCATGTATGCCCAATTGTGCTATGATCTAAATGAGAAACTGCTTCCATTCCCATCCGAAGAACCTAGAGGTAAAGACATCACATTTCGGAGAGTGCTATTGGATACTTTCCAGCTGGCTTCTGAAGGCTCTATAAAAATTCATTTTCGGCAAATAATGGTGTTGTTGGTCACTTGGTTGTAACAATTTATTATTTTTATTGCTAGTATATATGATAATAATCTCTAATAACTTAAAGGTGTAACATGTGTTTCTTCAGCTCTCAGTTGCCTCCCTCCCTCTACATTTCTTGTCTACATTACCCATTAGAATGTTTACATCATTTTTGACACATCACCAAGGAATTAGATTCACACATTACTTAGACGTGTCTTTTTGTATCTATCACCTTTCTAATCATGAGTCTTTTATCATGGATGCTTATTAACAGCCAAGAAAAGTAAAAAGGACGGTGAAGAGAAAAAAATGAGTCACAAAGAGATGCTTTTGGAGGCCGCCTGAACAGGATATGGTGATTCTTTGTATGTTTTATTCATTTTTACACTTGTGTGCTTACTTTATGAGGCAAAAATTTTAAAACTCAACTATCACTCCTTTAGATTGTAATG